AGGCAATTCTTCTCCTGTGTTTATTTTGTGTTGAACTAAGCCAGTCTTTCCTATGTCAGCTTCGTTTGACGGGAAAACATTGGCGTACTTGAGTAACAACTTCTTCGCTTTGACCGTTTCATTCGGGGAGAGAACGCTGCGACAGTCTTCTAAAAGTGTGGTCACTCTCGTTTGTGATTCCTTGCTGGGGGTCCCAGTCGATAGATATTGGCACCGACGCAACCAATCCACTTCCTCACTAGTACCAACCAATGTGCCTTTTTCTATAATCTGTTCCTGATCACAAAGGTTCAGCACACGTACTCCTGAGATGTCGGCGGTTCTGACCAAGGTTCGAGCCACTTTCCATGGAAGGTCATTGTCTACCCTTTCCACGAGTACACAACGAAGAGTTTGCCCAGGATTCCGTGGAAGTCTAACCGGCACAATCGTTTCCGATCTCGGCGGAAGAACAATCTTCTTAAGGCTGTACACATTCCCTGGTAACGCCCCTTCCACGAAAAGTTCCTCTTGTCCACATTTCAAAACACCTTGCTTAACATCGATCTCAACAATTCTTCCTCATAAAGTCTAGGCCCAGGATGCAGTCGTCCATTATATCAGCCACGATGACATTATGCAGGTAGATCATGTTGCCTAGCTTCAACTCCATCTCCTTCTCTCCACGGACGGGTATGCTCTGACCGGTGGCTGTCACCAAATTAATGCGTTCTCGGTTGTATGCGGAGTCCCCAAGGAACCGACTTATAAGTTGGGAACTGACAACCGTGCGAGAGGCTCCAGTGTCTATGGTCAGTTTACATGGCGTTCCGTTGACTTCGCCCTTGATGATTAGGCTATTCCCATCATGAGTTTGTGAGATCGAAATCCTTGGGGCTCTTTTAACATCAGCTAGCACCCGCCAGTTTCCCTGCTGCTGCTGGGCGGTGCTATTATCCGCACTACCCTCTCGAGATCGATCACCTTCCCTTTCTACAGTTCGCTTAGGGCAGCTGGATCGAAGATGGCCCCTTTCTCCACAGCCGTAGCACCTAGTGCTGGCCTGTTGGTCTAGTGGTTAGTGACCCTGACTGCTATGCCGGAGGTCGTGGTTTCGATTCCCACCCAGGACAAATGTTTGTGTGATGAGCACGATCATTTGTTCTGTGTCTGGGTGTAATTTATCTATAATATGTATGTATTTAGAAATATATAAGTATGTTTATCAGTTGTCTAGTACCCATAACACAAGCTCTGCTTAGCTTGGGACTAGATAGCGTTGTTTGATAGTTGTGAATATATATTGGTGACATCCCTGAATAAATTATATTTTATTGCGGTCCTGAACTGTAGCTGCTGCAACCTCCCTGACGCGGTGGGAACGATGATCCTGCCGCACGGCTTCCACCTCCAGTGCATGAGTCAAGGCGTCCTTAAGCGTCTCGTGGTGCTCGAGCCTCACAGCAGCTCTGACTTCAAGGTCGCGGATGCCGTCGATGAATGTCTGCACCAGGTTCCCTACAATAAGCGCAGGTACAGACTGGTACGCTTTTCGAACCAGCTTCTCCACCTCAAGGGCCCACTGCTGCAGGTTTTCGTTACTGCGTTGCACGCGATCTTTGAGCTGCGCACGAAAGACGTGTTCCAGGTGAGCGTCGCCATATCTCGCCTCCAATGCCTCAAGGAGCTGCTCGTAAGTCACTTCCTTACCGAGAGCTTCCAGTACAGTTAATGCCTGGTCGCGCAGGCCTAGGGTGAGAGCAGTCATGGCCTGACTTTTATTCCAGCCGGTAGCTTTCATGACAGCCTCGAACTGGATTTTATAGGCCGACCAGGAAGAAGTCCCGTCGAACGGTGGCACTTTGAATCCACGTAGCGAAGGTGTTGTAGCTACCACGGGAGCTGTAACTTCATCCCCAATTTTGAGGTCGTTCAGCGTTTTCTTCACGTCAGCCATCACATTGTCAACCCGATTGTACACTTGGTCGATTCGGGTTTCAGCTTCCGACAGGCGGTTGTCATATTGAGCAACCTTATCCTTCACCTCACTTATTTCTTTCCCGAAGGTAGCGTGAAGGTCCTTCATGAGAAGTATCTGCTCTTCCTTATCGCGTTTGAGCTGCTCTTCCAAACGACGGCCCTGTTCCTCCTGTTGGCGGGCTTGTTCCTCCTGTCCACGCTGCAGCTGCTCTTCCAACCGACAAGCCTGTTCCTCCTGTCGGCGGGCCTGTTCCTCCTGTCGGCGGGCCTGTTCCTCCTGTCGGCGAGCTTGTTCCTGCAGCATCATCATCAGAGTACCTAAGTTAGGTGCTGCAGATGCAGGAGCTGCTGACGGGCCGGCCTCCGTGGTCGGCAACTGGCCTGCCGACGTCTGTGACGTTGCACCACCAAATCGTTTCTGGTCCGTCTCCTGTTGGCGTTGACTTCGGGTACGGATACCCTCGGTGTCGTCTTTAGGTAAAATCGGCATATTTGATCCCACTTCTGACACCAATTGTTACGAGCTTGGGGTTCGAGACAATTAAAAACTGCCGATTGAATTACCAAAATTGACACTTTAATTACACAACACTAATTATAATCTAAAATCACACTAATAATAAAACACAGTTCGCCGTTATTTCGCTTCGAAGTATTCTCTTGTATCGCCAATTCAATACTGCCCCGGTCGTGGTCTATACCGGCCTTATATAGGGCCTCAGATAGTTTCCAGAACCTTCTACTGTAACGACATCTAGAATGTTCGAGTACATATCGGTCCCGAAATTTCTGGAAGGATCTCGACTCTCCTAGTTCTGCTACTCGACACTAGAGGGTGCTAGTGTAACTAGTGTTGCCATGTACAAGATATTAATAGTGGCGCGCAATACTTTCATTTACTCGACACTAGGGGGCGCCAGTGTAACTAGTGTTGCCATGTACAAGACATTAATAGTGGCGCGCAACAATAATATTGTACCTATCGTACTAATACATGTTATAAGTGCGAAAGTTTGGTGGATGTATGGATGTGTGTTACTTCTTTACAGCGTAACTGCCCAGTACCCACTCGATTGAGGGGAAACTTTCCACGAACATATTTTTAGACGTAGAAACAGAATTAGGCTACTTTTATAGTCGAACAAAATCAAGTCGAGTTAATAGAACTCAATAACTTTAAAGTAACTACAAATAATTATTTTCTTTTTAGATATTAATCGTCCATGGTGCATCTCTTTGACCATGAATGATATCATGAAATTTCATGCAGCGTTTTACAAATCAGCTACTAAACAAGCACTAGACACTCTTATTTTAAAATATGCCAAGTGTTTTAACAAAACGTAAAAGATCACGAACAAAAAGTGATTTAGGTGCCCTTCGTAGTGTGTGTCGCCGAGAAAAAAATGTTATGATGATTACACCACGTGAAATTTCGCTGGGTGTCATAAATCCACAGAAGATTCATAATGTATCTACTTTACTTGCAAAACATTATGGATCAGATTGGCGAGATATCAATGAATTGAGCTACTACAAAAACATTATCAATCAAAATATTGGAGACATTAATAATATAGACAATGATGAAAATAACTATTGTGAATCTCGCTCGGAAAACACAACATTGAAAGTTTAGAAATGATTACTTTGATTTTTTTATTTGATTGTTTTAACAAAGTTAAATAAAATATTTCAATTAAATTTTATGTTTTTTGACAGCCTTGACAGCTTACTGTTTAAATTATAGCGTATAACCATCCATAACAAAAACGGTAAAATCCTTACTTTACTAACAAATGGGGCATTGTCCATCATATTATTTAAGTTTCTTAGTTATCTGACTTATTTTAGCATTAAAATACAGCTTTAAATAAAAGGTATCACTTTATAAATATCACTTTATATAAATATATTATAACAGTAATATGTAATATCTTTTAAATGTTATTAATTTTTTGTAAATGACTTAAAATTAATATAACTGGACTTTGCCACCTTTGATATTAGACCCCTGATATAATGTACCCTAAATATAATGTACTCTATGCGCTGCACTATCTCACAATCTATGCTTTTTTGTGGTACACTTTACTGAGAAATGCTGAGAAACTATCACATTTTCAGGTTTGTGCTTTGATAAAGTATTTTCGATTCATGCCTAGACATGTTATCAATCTTAAAAAAAATATTTAATCCACATTTAAAAAAATAGAAGATAGGTATAACAATTTTCATTTATTTGATTTTTATTGTATAACTAACGCCATCTGTAAGAAACCCAAAATATATTTTTAGTAGTACTGCATTAGATGGCGCTGATTATGAATGGAGCATAACTTGATGAAAAAATTTCGAATAATCTCTCAGGTTCCGACATTGTTTTGGGTCAATTTAGTCAGAGCTGTGGTCTAGCCAAGGTCAATAATATATGTTTTGCTGTACAATTCTTTTTTAAATGTTATTTATAAGAATTCGCGAGCCATTACAAAATTGTACTTTTAGCTAGTTTAAATAATGATTTGATATGGATTTTAATATGGAAAAGTAGTGCTATATTGTGTATTAAATGTCTGCGCATGTAAACTATTAGTCTAAACGGTGAAACAAGTGCTCTGATAATAATGTTAATCTCAAGATCATGTTTCTTTCTGCTTAGGCGCTTTGATAGACTATCGCCAACTGTCTGCTGGCTGAAGTTGACGTCAAAATCTTCGAAAACCTATGCAATATGAAGCGTCAATATTTTTTTAAAGCAGTTTATTATAAAATATTATTACCACTTCATACTGAAAATCTATAAAAACGAATATCCCGAATGAAATGAAGACATGGCTTAAAAAACAAGCATTTAAGTCAAAAATCTTAATAAAAAAATCTTTATAAAGGTAACTTCGTGCTCTCTGCTCTATGTCTATCATAGATTATTATTGTTCCATGCTTTGTCAATCAACCCAAACCGGGTTTATTAAATATTTTGTACATTTGTTTTGAAATACTAATAGAAAAACGAAGTAAACACTGTTCTTTGTTGTTCGACGATGTCATCTCCGGTAAACATTTTAATTACTCGTAAATAGATTTATCTTATTACTTACCTCAAACTAAATTTAAATTGTAACGTTTGTTGTTCTATTAAATTGTACAGACAGAAGAAAGCGTACGGCGCAACAGCGAAAGTGAGAACGGCGAAGCAGAGACACCAGAACATGACCCTCACTTTGATCCTATTGTATCATTACCGATTGTCGAAATTAATACAAATGAGGAAGATGAAGAGGAGTTGGTCAAGATACGTGCTAGACTTTACAGATACGATACTGGTGATCACGAATGGAAGGTATTCTATTGGTTTATAATAATCTCTATTTTGTGTAGTTTATTTTGTTGCTTTAAATTTTTACAATTCAAAATTTTACTTAAAATAATCTGTAAAAAGAAACATCACTTGTTTCTGTTTTTTGCGCAGCCTGTGGATTTTATCATTAATCATCAAATATCATGAGTACGTAGGGTTGTGTTAATAGTTTATGTTGAAATACTTAAAAAGAATATCATGCAATAAATTTGCAATATATAGTTAATAAAAACAATTAAATTTTTAGAATATTGTGACCGAAACCACCAGTTGTGCTGTATAATGGATATATTAGTAGGCATTTGAGTTGCGAGTTGCGATTTTTTAAAGGTAGCTCCTTTAGGAGTTGTATGCATGGTATAGCGAGACTAAAATTCAACAGTGTGAAGTTAACTAATTAATGTGATTAAGGTCATCTTAATAATAATAATACATGTTAATTGTTAACAGTTTCAAATAAATAGTAATATTTTAATTTGTTTCAACAAACTAATGATAATTTGTACAAAATATTTATCAATTATGTTATTAAAATGTATAAAATTCTGAAAATCTTATTTGTAACTTATAATTCAATAATTTAGTGGCAGTGTATGAATACCTACTACACTTAACTACATCCAGTGGATGTTGCAAGATGCAACAAAATGAAACAAATAAGGAAATGGACAGTAGTATCTTTCCAATAACAATAAAAATTCAAAAAACTGAGGTTGCCCACCTGCCTGCCAACTGTAGCAGCTATGGCAAATAAGGCTTTGAGGTAACTTATAGGGGATACCTGTATTCAGCTGTGGACTTATGATATGCCGTACCAGTAGCAATAATTTCAAAACGAATTAAAAAGGGTTTTTAATTTGTACTAAGACACGTCTGGACATGTTTTATTTTAACCATAGTGACAGTGTAAGAATATCTACTACCCCATATCCTCCTGCAGGTGTTGTAAGAGGCGACAGGGAAAATGAAACAGATGGGCAGCAGCATCTCCTGATAACAACTCAAAATAATGAAAAAACTGCAGTTGCCAATCAGCTTGCCAGTCGTGCCAACTATGGCAAATTTACCCCATGAGGCAATCTATGATGGAGGCCTATGATCAGCAGTGTACTTTTATAGGCTGTAATGGATGGATGGATGGAATATGAATTTTATTTGCTTAACATTTCATTGCTACTTTATTCAATAAATATCCGTTTCTTATATGGTGGCTGTAATAGCTCAGGGGCTAAGGGTTTGCTGTAAATTTTACAGTATACGAGCAACCTGGCTTCAATCTCCAATCAAATTGTTAATTGTAATTGTTACATGCTGATTTACCACATACTTGGCGGTGAAGGAAAACATTGTGAGGGATACCTGTATTTTTTTTATAGGAATAACGTAACAAACGTGCACACAGTCCACCTGATGGTAAGTGGTTGCTGTGACCCATAGACATCTACATTTATCCTCGTTTGCGAATCAAAATGCAGATGCGTTGTCACCCGTGAGGACTAAGTTGGAATGCCTCTTTTCCAGTAAAAAGGTTCTCCGGTTCTCTACACTCACCATACGAAACATAGCAGTGTTAAACTGATATTTTACAATGGTATTGACAGATATTTTAAAAAAATATTTTGAAGAAGTGTGTGAAGTCCACCAACATGCAATTGGGGCAGCACAGTGGACTCTTCTTGGCCCTAAAAACCTTTAACTTTACTTTCATCTTATATTTATTTTTGGTTAATACACTGACATAAGGGGAACCCTTTTATTTTGTTTTGTGTCCAAATAGTTCCAGTAATGTAACTGCTAAAATGTTTAATTGCATAAACTTGTTAAAAAGATTACAAGAGACAAACTAAATTTTGTTCAGTTCCATATTCATTGTTTTGTCTGCAATTTGGAAATTTACCTTATGCATGTTCCAACATGTCACTAATATTTTTTACTATCATATCTTTTATATGCTATGTGATCTCTAAGGTTTAAGACTATATGTCTCACAGGCTCAAAGTCTGAAAAGAAAAGATTTTACAGTACTTTATTCTCATCTTGAGTTATCACATGATTTTCTTTGCAAAAACATTATTTCTATTAATTAGAAAGTAATTGCTATAATTACTAAACTTTATTACCAGTAGTCTAGGTTAGGATTTACTAATGTGTTCCAACTCATTAATTTTTAAGGAGCGTGGCACTGGTGACATAAAATTACTAAGACATAAAGTTAATAACACTGTAAGAGTTGTAATGAGAAGGGACAAGACACTTAAAGTTTGTGCAAACCATTTTATAACCCCAGACATAAGGATGAATGTCCACTGTGGATCAGATAAAGCTTTCAACTGGTCAGTGTTTGCTGACTATGCAGATGAAACTTGTAAACAGGAGTTGTTGGCTATCAAATTTGGAAATCCACAGAGTAAGTAATATTATAAATTTATAAAATAGATGTGAAGCAAAATTTTGTAGTTAATAGATAGATGTTACTGCATATATAAAGTTTGGTCAGTAGTGCACTGTAATGCCAGTACAGTACAGCCAGTAGTTAGAAACAATTATTATTATTTTTTTTTTGGTTAATTTTGTCTTATTAACAATTGATAATGTTATGGCTTAGCAGACAGAGGGCCTGACTAATGAGTTATGGGTTCTAGGTTCAAGTTCCACCTGGTGTTAATATTTGGCTAAGAACAAAAAATATTTGTGGTAAAAGAAAAAAAAATTGTACAAAACTAATAAAATAAATAAAATGAGAACATAATCAATGTAGTTGAAGTCAATTAAATACGCATTGTTTAGGATTACTCAAAAAGTACTGGTCAAATCTTGATCAAATTTATATGGGACCACATGAAAAGCACCAGCTTTCAAATAAAAAAAGAATCATGAAATTCATCAAAAAAATGAACTGGAGCAAATGAACATTTTTGTCTTTATAATCATTTAGTATTCTATAATTTTTCAATTAAAAAAGTGGTTTTAGGAACTATAAAATAATGTATGATACATGGAACTTAAGTAACCAGTTATTAAAATGTGTAGTTAGTATAATCGGCTACTTAAGTCTCTTGTATTGTAATGTACTGTTTCCTAACATTTGTTTTTGTTTGTTTTAGATGCAGAATTATGGAAGGCAAAGTTTGCTGAGGCACAAGAAATAGTCCGAACAAAATGTAGTCTCTATACCCAAGATCAATCATCTGATGATGAAAGTAGTTTCACTAGAAGTGAAGACACAGACACTCCTGAGCCCAAAAGTGTAGATAAACCACCTGAAGAAGAGTACAAAAAGGAAGATTTGAAAGAAGATGGTGTGGTTCTTAAATTGAAAGAACTTAAAGTAGACAGTGAAAAAACAGAATAACTTAGAAATAAGCTCCTTATTCCAATGTTTTTTTTGTAAGAGATGATAATCTTTTAAATTTTGTCATATTTGTCAGCATAGTAAAAATTACAAAAATGTATGTTTTATCCCATTTTTTACATGTAAATTTGTGTTGAAATCTTTTTTTTTTATATAGAAGAGAGAGAGTCCTTGTGCAAAGATGGCAGATAGACCACAATGCAAGTCCCGAAGGAATTTGAACTAGTTTCTTGCCATTTCTGTCCATGTGCTCTGCTCCCTTTTATTGACTTTGCCTTGGCAATTACATTTTTGAACGACTTGGAGGTGGAATTATACTTCTTTTTATAAACGCTGGTCTTTGCATCCTGAGATGTTGATGCATCAGCCCAGGCCTGGTAGCACTCCTGCTTATGGCGTGATGCAATTTTACAGGAGTGACCAAACCATGGGTGAGTTCTGCCTCCGATAGGCACCACATGTGATGGAATAAAATGTTCTATCCCCTGAAGTACCATATCAGCGGCAGAATCGGCAATAACGTTGGGATCCCCCAAGGGTCGTATGCAAAAAGAGACCGCATCCTGTCCCAATCGGCAGACCTATAGTACCAAACACGGCAGCAACCTGCTGAACGCAACCGGGATAGGTATGTGAGTGGTACCGTACTCGGGCATCTACGGAGAACTGATATACGTTCGGATGAGCCATCGAAAACGTATGTCCTTTCTGACGTATACGCAAACTGCAGCCCGGAGCATAAAGGAGTATTCTAATTCGTACCCCGGATATGAGAGATACGAAGTATCAGCTGAAGGGGACACCTGTCTCGGGTTAGAAAGAGCAAGTAGTAGTACTGATGGTGCAGAAATACACAGATAGCATGGTACTGACCGTCTTTTTCCATCTTTGTCTTATTGCTCCACTTGTCCCGAGCAGTCTATATGAAGAGACCCCCCCCCCCCCCCCCCAAATAGCGGGGCAGCCTAAGCACTCACGCTCAGGAAGAGTGGGATAGCTTGGGTGTGAATGCTTACCGAGGGATTCTACGTTACCAGGAGTGCTGGTACCCTGTAATCCTGGGGCAGTGTTTTATTTAATTCCGCTACCATGTTAAGGGAAAGGGGGAATTGGGTCTCCGGCATGTAGCCGGCAAAATGCTGAAGTAAACTTCCAACTTTACGCTGGTATTCTGTGAGGTCGATCACCCCGGTTCAAGTTGACCCATCCGTGCCACAGCAAAAGCTGCCGTGTGGCTCTACCACTGTTTATTGTGAACAGTCCATAAGATCTGTCTTATTTGGTACAAATTTGATGCATAGTCTGGATTTGGATTGGATAAGTAATTTTCTTTGAGTGTTATAGTAAGGTTTCATGCATTTAGTATTTTTATTATATTACATATCAATTACAATAATATTTAGTTATTAATAACTCTGGTATCATTGTAAACCATAGTTTAAAATTCACACTCCATTAAGTCTGTATGATATCTATATTTTTAGTACTTATATATAATTTATTTTTAGTCTCCGTTTTATCACAAATATCAATTGCTATAAGAAATCAGGAATATTAAACACGATATTTAGAATTATTGATTTCTTAAATATGAGATGAGTTTTACTTTATTAAAAATGCCTGTAGTAAAATTTGAAAGCCATTTTGGATTTACTTCAGACTTAATGTACTATGAATTTTAATAAAATTGTTTAAAAATATTTGTTTGCATCTTTTATTGAATTTGTTGGATAATATTAATAATTAGTTTTCTTCAACAGGTTCATTAATATATGAAACATTATCTGGTATTTTTAGTGTCAAATTACAGTGCTGTGGTTTTTTTATAACTGCTTTAAAATTATATACATAAACACCTTGGTTAACTTAACTTCAGACTTAATGTACTATGAATTTTGATAAAATTGTATTAAAAATATTTGTTTCTCTTTTATTGAATTTGTTGAATGATAATAATTTTCTTCGACAGGTTCATTAATGTATACTCACCAGCATGGAAACTTGGCCAACATTGAATATTGTGACAGCTTGCTTTTAAATACTTTTTCTTCAATTAATTAATTAATTTAAACTTTTATGCACAAAAGAAAAATTGTACATACGGCGGACTTAATGCCTTAAGGCATTCTCTCCCAGTCAACCATTAGGCTATGCAGAGATAAATATATGGGAGGATATATATATATATATATATATATATATATATATATATATATATATATATATATATATATATATATATATATATATATATATATATATATATATATATATATATATATACACGATGTCCCAGTAATGGTGGATAATCTGGTACGTATGTGTTCGGGCGGGGGGAGGTGGCCTCGGTTCCCTAAAAAAAAACTTCTATCCCGAACGGTTCGTGATCTACGCCATGTTTTATAAAATTCCGAAAATTCGTACTTCTGCTCACATTTGTGGTCATGACGTCCGCAGTTTAATGCCTAGATCGGATTTTTTTCTTTTAATGTGTTCCCTAATAATGATGTTTCTAAATTACCCTTAAAAGTTTTTAACTACTATGGGTAGTATTTTAAAAGACGGCACTAAACGTAAGTTTAATTTTTTTACTTTATTTAACTGCTAAGTTTGAGCACCTGTGGTGAAAAAAAGCGTGTAGGATCTGTGTGGCCAACCATTTAAAAAGTTTGCCTATACCATAAGGATTCTAAAACATTAGCATACCATGTACTTAATGTTATTACTTACTGAGCTATAGCCATTAATGTGTAAAAGTAGGCATTTCATTACAAAATTATTGGCAGATAGTTTTTTTTAAACATTGCATATCTTTATTAGGTAAGTACATTTGTCGCCCTTGAAAATTTTACTTTACGCGTAGATAGCGAACCGTTCGGGATAGAATTTTTTTAGGGAACCGAGGCCACCTCCCCCCCACCCGAACACGTACGTACCAGATTATCCACCATTACTTACTAGGACATTCCATATATATATATATATATATATATATATATATATATATATATATATATATATATATATATATATTAATGTTTCGTAGGTGGACAAAATAAATGTATCTCTTAAGGTTTCAGTACTTATTCATGATTACAAAAAAATACTACACCAACGATTAAGTTTGTAGCGGCGGTTAATTAAACTTTTAAGGAAAATTAGAATTTTCAATGCTCAACTTTAAAACACTAGAAAACAAATAACACTTTAGTACCGCGTGGTTTCTCTAACTCTGATAACTGCCTGTATTCGGTCTGGCATGCTCTGTGATGTTTTTAACATCTACTTGCGGTATGGCTGATCAAGAGTTTTTGGTGGGCTAGGAGAGGATGAAGGTTCACGCAATGCGCTACGTGTGGGCGGCGTGCATTAGAAGAAACTGATTGTGTCCAATGAACCCTGCATAAGGGAAAACATGATCCTGTAGGATGTAGGAGGAAATATTGTCACGGCCGGTATATAAGGCATCACCAGTGCTGTTGTCTGCATAGCAATGAATGCTACCAGCTTGCAACATATCATTGATATGCAGAAGAAACAGCGTTGATGATAGCACGCAGCCTTGTGGAACACCAGCGTTGCTAGGCTTGAAATCAGAGCATGCACCGTCTACTACGACCTTGATGCTTCGATCAGCAAGGAAACTGGTAATCCAATTGCACAATTTCTCGGGAAGCCCATAGGAAGGAAGTTTCGAAAGAAGCGCTTTGTGCCAGACCGGATCGAAGGCCTTCGCTATGTCCAAACTGATGAGCAATGCTTTCCCCTTGGACTCTACTGCCTCCGCCCATCTATGAGTCAGGTAGACCAGAAGATCACCAGCTGATCGACCCCGACGAAAACCGTACTGGCGGTCACTAATCAGTTGGTGATCCTCAAGGTACCTCATGAGCTGACAGTTTATAATGGATTCCATTAATTTGGAGAACAAGGAGGTGATAGCGATAGGCCTGTAGTTGGACGGGTTTGAGCGGTCGCTTTTTTTAGGGATCGGGTGGACCAAAGCTGTCTTCCATGAATTCGGGACTACGCCTTGGGAGTAGGAGTACCGGCAAAGACGCGTTAAAACCGGTGCCAACTCCGGAGCACACGTCTTCAGCACAATGGGTGGGATTCCATCAGGCCCACTCGACTTGCTGATGTGCAGGGAGAAGAGTGCTTTGCGAACCAAGCGCTGTGTAAACCGCACATCCGGCATGGAGCACTCACACCGCGGGATGGTCGGCGGTGTGTTCCCCCCGTCATCTAGAGTAGAGTTGGACGCGAAGAGAGAGCTCAACAGATCGGCTTTCTCCTTTGCGGCATGGACCAGTGAGTCGTCCTCTCTGTGCAGAGATGGAAGATATGGCTGACAGAAGTTCCCTTGGATAGCCTTGGCGAGAGACCAGAATGCACGGGTACCCGAAGGAAGGCGAACTAGCTTCTCCCTCAGTCTGCCCATGTGCTCAGACCTTGCCTTGGCAATGACGCTTTTGAAGGGCCTGGAGGCGGAATTATACTTCTTTTTAAGAGTGCTGGTGTTTACATCCCGAGACGTTGATGCGTCAGCCCAGGCCCGGTAGCACTCCTGCTTATAGCGTGATGCTATTTTACAGGAGCGACCATGGCTGGGATCTGCCTCCGATGGGCACCACAGAGGATGGAATAAAAAGTTCCATACCCTGAAGTACCACATCAGCAACAGAATCGGCAACAGTCTACGCGCAGCCATAGGATGGACAGGTCCGTATTTTCGAGACTGCCGAGGCGTCGAAAACAGATATCCTCTTTGACGTATACGCAAACTCCAGCCCGGGGCAGAAAGGAGTGTTCTAATTTGTACCCCGGGTAGGAGAGATATGAAGTATCAGCCGGAGAGAACACCTGAGTCTCGGTCGGCAAAGAGCAAGGACGGCTTCGCAGTCTCTAGATGATAATGGACAGCGTTAAGTTTGGAATGAAGTCCCCTGATGTTGCAAAAATTCACGGATAGCGTGACAGGGGTCGCCTTGGTTTTATTGCTCCGCTTGCCCCAAGCAGTAGTAGTCGCGAGCGGAATTTTTGCCCCCCCCCCCCCCCCCCCCCAGAATACGCGGGGCAGCCTGAGCACCCACGTTCAGTAGTGGAGAAGTTTGGTCGTGTATGCTCAGCGAGGGATTCTCCAGGGGTTCTGGTACCCTCCTGGGGTAGTCTTTTATGTAATTCCGCTATCATGTTGATGGGGGGGGATTGGGCCTCCGGCCACCTGCATTCACCAAGCGCAATGCAGAGGTAAACCTCTACTTCACCCTGGTGGTCTGTGAGTTCATGGTACCACCCCAGATCGAGCCGGTCCATCTGTGCGACAGCAAAAGCTGCCGCGTGGCTCTACCACTGTTAAAAGGGTGTGTGCTGATGGCTTTTAAATCCACTTCCTCCTATTAACGCCCCTCGTGGTTTAGAGCCGCTGGCGAATTACATCTTCGGTAAGGTAGCGATTTCGCAAAATTTCTAGCACAATGAAGCAGTCGTCCTGGGCTGATGTTCACCTTACACCTCTACTACCTGGTTTGCGGATGTAACTTTCAGTCTCCCGGTATTGTAGTAGTAGTAGTAGTATATACTTTATTGTACACCACACATATACAACGATGCAGTATGCATTGAAGGATGTGGTACAAGTGCTTTTGCCACTTCACATTGTGTCAGCCCTTGGCCAATTAATGCTATGGCTTTTGCAACTTGATCGGGTGCTAAGAGCATTTTTTTAAAGTTTTATCGCACCTTTAAATATTGGATTAAAAATAAAAACATAAAATCACAAGTTCAGTAAACAAACAGTACACTTTTCACAATCCCAACTTTTTATATTCATTATAAGCACTCACAACTTTGTTATCGCAAGATAAGGGTTTAGTCTTTAGTCTAATTTCTGTGCCTGCTGAGTGTAAGTATATAACATTATCTGGTATTTTTAGTGTCTAATTACAGTTTATGGCTTTTTTTTATAACTGCATTTAAATTATATGCTTAAACAACTTGGTTAACTTAACTTCAGACTTAATATATTATGAATTTTGATAAAATTGTATAAAAATTTTTTTTCCCTTTTATTGAATTTGTTGGATAATAAATAATTTTCTGCAACAGGTTCATTAACCTTTTGACCGCCACGCCAAAAACGCATTATTATTACCGTGTCCTGTACGCCAAAGCGAAAATTAAACAAATATACCTACGAAACTAATAGTGTTGCCAAGAGTTGATATATCGATAACACAAAATAACTTGTTTTTGTTGGTTTTTTATGCAGTAAAAGAATCTTTATAATCTAGTATGTTTTATTTAATCTTGCGCTGTCTTCCACTCTTTTTATGTATGTACTTTGTACATAAATAAAAAGCAAACAATATCAATAAAATAGTAGTAAACCACAGCACTACTCTCCATCGTGATGACGTCACTGTCACGACTGGACGACAACGGCGTAGCTGACTTTCCTTTTTGAAACTTTCTTAGAGATGTAGCCGTGTCGTGTCGCACGTTGTGTATCGATTTCGAAATCGAATCAAAATATTTTATGTGTCGGGGGAGGCGTAGGCCAAGTGAAGCACAGAAGAAAAGTATAATGCTTTTATGACAATGGGGGTTTGATAAGACGCTGATGCTGCCAGATGATTTTGAGATTGAGAAAGAAAATCGCACAACACAAAATGAAAAATTGCTTTTCATACCTTAAATAAAAAAAACCACATTTATTATTTGTAATTTTATATTATTAAAATAAAAAAACGTACATAATTATTCACTAATCAACAATTGTATATAATTATTTGCACTAGGTAAATCAGTCAGAATCGTTCATGTTGCACTTCACTACTTTTCCCGCTAATCACTTATGACGTCATCAGGGTGTCGTCTATCCTTGACCACGGCGCCCCTAGGTACGACTTTCCATTGACTCCCATCGAGTTTGGGGTTGATACGTATTTTTACAGAAAAGTTACACTATTATAAGCACACACACAAAGTTACAACATGCGAAAGCGCGTATTTTTGAGAAAAAAGTTATTGAAAATCAATTACACCGCACACAGAACAAAAGAGTTTTTAGAGCAAGAGAACATAGAATTATTAGACCATCCGCCGTACATCTCCGACCTAAGCCCTAATGATTTCTATACTTTCCCTAAAATAAAGAATAAATTGCGTGGACAGAGATTTTCATCACCTGAAGAAGCTGTGGACGCCTACAAAACGGCCATTTTGGAGACCCCAACTTCCGAATGGAATGGTTGCTTCAATGATTGGTTCCATCGTATGGAAAAATGTGTCAAATTTCACAGAGAATACTTTGAAAAGCAATAAATATATTTTTAAATAGTAATGTACACAACATTCCTTGATTCCCGAAATTTTCAGTGCCATTTTCGTACTTGTGGCTCTAGGAGACTTTTTTTTATACTAACATGTTGCTGGGTTATTTTTTTTTTTGAGGAGTGTGGAATTAAAATACCAGTAATAATTGTCCAATATCTATATTTCATATTTTTGTGGGCTGGGTTTTTTGTCAACTATAGATGTCGGTGGCGCTCAGGGCCCGCAGGTGCTGGTCAAGTATAGGCGACTTTGGCGGTCAAAAGGTTAATGTGTATAGCATTATCTGGTATTTTTCATATCAATTACAGTGTTTGTGACTTTTTTATAACTGCGTTAAAATTACAATATGCATAAACAACTTGGTTAACTAAGAAACTATAACCATTTTTATGCACTGAAACTATATTTTTAATAATGGACACAATTCACCAACGTGTTTACCCTTTTTAATTTTTTTTTTATAGAAGAGGGGCCAACGAGCATGCGGCTCACCTGATGGTAAGTGACTACCGCCGCCCATGAACAACTGCAACACCAGGGAAGCAATTGCAGATGCGTTGTCGGCCTTTTAAAAAGAAGTACGCTCTTTTCTTGAAGGTCCCTAAGTCGTATCGGTCCGGAAAAATCGCTGATGGTAATCAATTCCACAAGGAAGTCGTGCGAGGAAGAAAACATCTTCTAAATCGCACAGTGGTGGACCGCCAATCATCCAGATGGTGTGGATGGTATCGGGAGTTCTGCCGCGATGTGCGTTCGTGAAATTTGGCGGCTGGGATTAATCCGAACAATTCCTCAGAGCACTCCCCATGGTAGATGCGAAAGAAAATCCAAAGGGATGCAACATCTCTTCGCAGTGCCAATGAATCGAGCCGATCGGAAAAGGCTAGGTCCTCGACGATTCGACCCGCTCTGCGCTGGATGCGGTCAAGTTGAAGGAGCTGGCACTGGGGAGCCCCTGCCCAGAGATGGGAACAGTATTCCATGTGAGGCCGAACCTGCGCTTTGTAAAGTTGCAGGCGGTGTGCCGGCATGAAATACTGTCCCGCTCTGCTGAGCACGTCAAGCTTTTTAGAGGCCAATTTGGCCTTGTCTTCCAAGTGACCACGAAACTGCACATCACTCGATATGTCGACTCCGAGGATACCGATACTGGCTGAGGCAAGAAGGGGAGTGCCTTGAAACTGAGGAGATATGACAAAGGGGTTCTATTTAGCGGTTAACGTGCAAACTTGTGTCTTCTGAGGATTAAACTGGACTAGATTTAGTCGTGCCCAATCCGAGACTTTGTTCAGCAAAGACTCGACTTCAGACACAAGTTTGTTGCGGTACACGGCGACGTTTTCAATTAATTTTAATTTAATAATTTGTGATTTTTCATTAAAATCAATAATAGAAACAATTGTTTTAATTAATATTTTATTGCAATTTATTTATCCCACATAGTGTTCGATAAAAATTTCAAAGTACGTACCATAAAACTCAAGTAGTGCTCAGTCAATGGCTTAAAAATGCACACACTGCTACATACAGTACAATAAATTTTCCATTGCTTCAAACAAAGGAATCATAAAATCAAACCGTAATTTACTTTGGTATAAAATACTAATCTAAATAAAAAATAACAGTTTAAAAAAACTTAATAAAGATGGATGGAATGATGATTTGCTCAAAACTAGTTAGTAACCTATCTGCACTCATATTTTTTTGTTATTTATTTAGACTAGTTTAAAAATCACAGATCTTCCTTTATATTTTGTGTTTTCCCAAACAGTTGAAATGATTGTAAAATATTAAGCCTTACACCCAATTCCTTCTTCTTTTCATCTGATATTTTTCCACTTAGCAATTTCTTTACTCTGTCATATTCAGATTTAGTAAATTCATCACCTTTTTCTAAAATCTTCTCCATAATTGTTTTGTAAATTTTTCCAGAAATGGAATCCTGAAAGGAAGTAATTATTTCATTAAAATTAATTAAGTTACAAAAGCCTAAATATTCAAATGCTACTCAATTTTAAGATGTCATTAAGTCTAGTTTCATCACAGTCACTTTTGATAGAGCCAGCATGAGATTTAAAATTGAGTAGTGTTTAAGTTCTTGGGCATAAAACTAATTTTTTTTTTAAATTTACCTTTTCAGAAACTTTCTTTAAAATATCTTCTGCTTCTTTTAAAATAGGTTTCCTCTCGTCTTTTACTGCTTTCATAAATTTAGCAGCAAGTTTATCGAGATCCTTAATGCAGCCTGGTAGACTTAAGTATAAACCAGTTTTTTCCCGAACAAATCGACGCAGCTCATCACTTGTAAAACCTTTTGAGTCATCAAATTGAATAGGCTCACTTTTACCTTTAACAAATAGCTTTACTAATGGGAAGTTATCTTTTGTTGCTCCATACTTCTTAGCAAGTACTTCATTATCCTTTTCGCCATAATCTTTCACTCCAACTTCAGCTACTAACAACTCTTGAACGTCTTTAGAGTCCTTTGCAATCGCCACGAAGGCATCATGCTTATCGCCATATGGGAATGCAACATCAAATTTCACTAACGCGGCTTCAAACTTATTAATTACTTTATCAAAGGAATACTCATCTAATTCAACAGAACCACTAGCTGCAGTGGCTTCGGAGACGAAAAATGCCGTGAAAATTGCCCATAGAAATAATAAAAGCCGCTTCATTTTCTTATTGAATTGAATTACTTTTCTAGAATATCTAAACGCAAATTCTTATCACAAACGTGCGCACTTTACGAAATACAAGTTAATTTTATCGGCTTTTATTATTGCTCGACACGAATTCACAACTTGACAAGCGAAACCGGCATAATATATGAATAAATTAATATGTTATCTATGTCCTAAAAATATTTTGGATCAACGTTTCGTTTTGTGTTTGTGTGTTTTTAGCTAAACTTTTATTTTCTAGAAGTATAGTATACAAAGTACATTATTTGAATAAATCTTAACAAGCAATTTACTTAAATAAGAAAAGGAGTTACATTATATCTAAATAGTAATATTTTGTACTTAAGCGTTTGTAATTTTATACTTAATTTTTTACGTAAATTGAAATGCTTTCAATGTTGTGATGTTATTGGCCCAAGTCGAGTATTATTAAACCGTGGTTTAACTTGATTGGTTTAAATCATTGTAAAACTACATGGTACGTTTTCCATTACAAGTCGTAAGTATAGAAATAATTATTAGGCTTATACCCCAGAAGGCGCACGCAAAGTGAAGCCATTTCAAGTTAGCATTTTAAGGCCGGCCAAATACATACGGAAGAAAATCGTTCAGTGAAAAATATTTATTACTTGAACACATTCTTGTTTTTCGATAGAAAAAAGACTTATAGTTGAGTAGAGTAACTATTAAAAATTCATCATCATCATTACAGCCTTTCATAAGTCCACTGCTGAACATAGGCCTTCCCCAAGGAATGCCACAAAGCACGATCCTGAGCCACTTGCATCCATCGACTTCCTGCATGTCTTACCAGGTCATCACTTCATCTCGTGGGGGGTCGCCCTACACTTCGCCTACCGGTACGAGGCTGCCACTCAAGAACCTTTCTTCCCCATTGGTTATCCGTTATTCGAGCTATATGGTCGGCCCACTGCCACTTCAGCATACTAATCCGTTGGGCTATGTCGGTTACTCTGGTTCTACTGCGGATATCCTCATTCCTAATATTATCACGCAGAGAAACTCCGAGCATAGCCCTCTCCATAGCTCGCTGAGCGACCTTGAGCTTCCTCATACGGCCAGCAGTGAAGGACCACGTCTCAGATCCGTAAGTTATCACTGGCAACACGCACTGGTTGTACAATTTCGTTTTAAGGTTTTGAGGTATGTCTGACGAGAAGATGTGTCGTAGCTTTCCAAACGCTGCCCAGCCGAGTTGAATCCGTTGACCTCTCGGTCGAAGTTAGACTTACCTAGTCGGACTATTTGTCCCAGGTGAACATACTCGTCAACAACTTCGAGCTTAGTGCTCCCAACAACTACCGGGATAGGTGTGACATGGACATTAAACATAATCTTTGTTTTGTCCGTGTTCATCTTAAGACCTATCCGTTGGGAGACACTATTGAGGTCATTGCGCATAGTGCTTAGGTCCTCCAGCGATTCTGCCATAAGGACTATATCGTCGGCAAATCGAAGGTGAGTGATGTACTCGCCATTGATATTAATACCGTATCCTTTCCATTCTAGAAGTTTGAAAACGTCTTCCAAAGCAGCGGTGAAGAGTTTCGGGGATATAACGTCACCCTGTCTTACACCTCTCTGCAATTGGATAGGTTTCGTACTCTGGTTCTGTACTCGGATAGCCATCGTAGCCCTACTGTACAAGCACTTCAGCACTTCGATATACCGACAGTCAACTTGGCACCGCTGAAGGGACTGCAGCACCGCCCAAATTTCGACGGAATCAAAGGCTTTCTCATAGTCCACATACGCCAGGCATAGTGGCAAATTGGACTCCTCGGACTTCTGTACAACTTGCCGAAGGGTATGTATGTGGTCTATGGTGCTAAAGGCCTTTCGGAAACTGGCTTGTTCGGGAGGCTGGAAGTCGTCAAGTCTGCGTGCGAGGAGATTCGTAATGACTCTCGAAAACAGCACGTAGACGCGGCTCAGAAGGGAAATCGGTCTGTAGTTCTTCAAGTGAGCATTGTCACCTTTCTTGAAGAACAAGACCACCGCACTTCTGCTCCACGCCTCCGGTGTAATGCCACCATGGAGGACGGAATTAAAGAGCCTCTGAAGAACTTCCAGTACCGGTTTTCCACCCGCTTTCAGAAGCTCCGCTGTGTGAGAGCCATTCTAATCTCGCTAAGACTGAGGTCCGGGATATCTTCGGAATAGTGTCGAATAAGACTCGCTCTTGGATCGTTACTCACACTTGCATGTGGCTCCAACGATATTGTGTACAACTACCCATAGAACCTCTCAATCTCACTCAAAATCTCAGGTGCCCCGGAAACGATGCTGCCACACTCGGTCTTCAGCTTTGACAGTTGTTTCTTTCTGGCATACAGATCTCTGGCAAAGACTTTGGAGCCTTGGTTCCGCTCGATCGCTTCTTCAATACAAGCTGTATTGAAGTTGCGTAAGTTGCGTAAGTCCCGCCGCATCCATTTGGAGATCTGTCTGTACAGTTGCCTGTATGCTGTCAAATCTGTTGAAGAATGTAGCTTCATCTCCCGTCTAACAGTCATGAGATTAAGCGTGTGATCGGAGAGTTTTTGTGTTCTTCTGCGGCGGGTCTTGCAGAACTTAGCTCCAACCGCATGGACAGTTTCCACGGGCTTGTCATTCATATCGTCCACTTCATTGCAGTCTTTTAGGCACTGAAAACGGTTTTGTAACTCGAGCTGAAAGGTTTCAGGACTTTGGTACAGAGCACGAGGGGGACGGAGCGTTGACTTCATTAGACGAGTCCTCTCCACCGTAACGTTTAGATTCAGTGTGCCTCTAACCATTTGGTGATCGCTACCAATTTTCACCCTCGCGATCACGGAGACATCACTGAACAGTTGTCGTCTGGTCGTCATAATGAAGTCTATCTCATTTTTTGTGGAACCATCGGGGCTCGACGAGGTCCACTTCCTGTGGGGCCGCTTCTGGAAAAAAGAGTTCATCATAAAGAGTCCCTCTTTCTCCATGAAGTTGGCCAGCTGCTGGCCCCTTGGGTTCCGTTGCCCTATTCCAAATTTCCTTAATTTCAGCTCACCGTTCTCTCTTGTGCCTAGTTTTGCATTGAAGTCTCTAATGCATGGCTCTAGAGATATCCTCATACATTTCCTCCACCTCCTCATCTGGGTGTGCCGAGGTTGGTGCGTAAACCTGTATGACCTTCAGCGATTACCGTTTGGTGATTCTGATTATAAGGTACGCAACCTTCGTCGACACACTACCGATCTTTACAACGTTGTTAACGAGAGGCTTGTGGACGATAAATCCGACACCTCCATGAGACAGATGGTCGCCCTCCCGGTGATAGAGCAAGTTGCCGGATTGGAGGATTACCGTGTCCTCCGCCTCTCTTCGGACTTCGGATAATCCTATAATATGCTAGCGTAACTTGTCTATCTCTTCTTCCAGCTCCACGATCTTCTCGTCAGTCCTCAGGGTGCGTGCGTTGTACGTTGCCATGTCGAGTCGTCTAAGGTGGCAACCGAAACTCCACCGGCGATTCTTAGCACCCCCTGCCCCGCCGTTACCATGGTCGCCACCGTAGCCAGGAATAGCGGGGCCGCAGGGGACTGGGGGCCGTCTCCTTGTTACTCTCTTCATAGGAGGGTATTTGCCATAGTTGCCACGCTTGGCGAGCGGGTTGGCAACCGCAGTTTTTTTATTGTAATTTTGGCTATTATCAGGAAGATGCTGCTGCCCATCTCCTGCCTGTTTCCCTTTGTCGCCTTTTACGACACCCACGGGAAGAAATGGGGTAGTGGATATTCTTGACTGCCACTACACGGCAACTTTTAACAATTAACTTGATGTAAAAAAAAATAGTAGAAAAAGATTTTTTTATTACGAGATGCTTAAAAATTGGATTCAAAGTAGAGACTTTTCGATATTTTGCAAAATATAGTATAACTATGAATCCGTAACATTTTGCGGAACATATTATATTGTGTTGTTTTGGTAGATATTGGCCCAAGCTATCACCTCCTGCACTATGTCGTACTATTAACTGGACATCTTGTATATATGCAATATTCATATTCGTTTCAGATACAGAAGGGTAACTAATGCTGACAAAAATATCATGTGGAGGCCACAAAAACGTAAAACATATTTGTAGCTATACCCAACCAAATCTCATGCTGCTGCTACACCTGCGTCTTATCACGTTAATTATCGCGATAATTGATGTTATGCGCAGATGTAGCCAACATTTAGTGCGCTAATTTATTAACGTCATTATTAATGGAATTAAGACATTAGGCGATAACTCGGGTGTCGGTTTTTTCGACACATCAAAGGTTTTTAGCGCGTTATTTTCGCAATAATTCTGCTTGGATACATCTGCGCTGTAAGTTTGCGCAGCGAACCCACCACAGATAATACACTATATAGGAACGCACCAAGTGAAGACGTATGCGTAGTTGCTTTTGGCGGGAACGTTTAGCTAGCAACGAAACAAGAAAGTATGGAGTGACCTAGTGAAAAAGTTTTAGAGTTATATCAAACGGAGCCGTGTCTGTGGGATCCACGTTTGCAGGCACATAAAATCGATCAGCTCTCAGTGATGCATGGTGACGTTTTCTTTTCTTCTATGATTATATAAAACATGCATATAGTAATTAATAACACTCGTGTAGTAAACTATAGCACCTGATTCATTTTCCCCGCCACGTTAACGCGATGATTAACGAGAAATTATGAACTGATAGAGTAGTGCGCAGATGTAGCCATTTGATTTAAAGCATTAAAATTAGCGCGATAATTATGGCGCTAGAGACCGCAGCCACTAACACTAACGCTAACGCAGGTGGAGCTAGTGATGGGTCAACTCGAGTTACTAGAGTTGCGGCTAACTCGAGTTAACTCGAGCTTGATCTCCCTAACTCGGGTTTGGCTGCTGTACATGAACGGATTAAGTGAGCAAGCAAAAAATTAAGCGCGCGATTCGTTCGTTGTATGCGCGCTTTGTGTATCAAAGAGTA